TGGAAAGTGCACTTCCGTGTTTAGTCTTTTAAAAGTCAATGATGAAGGGTGGAAACCGTGTTACAGAATGAGGGCAATTTCGACTTTGTCCTTCTGTGGCTGCATTTTTAGGTGTGGGAAAGTGGAGTTTGTTTAACCATCTTGCTAACAAACACCCCGATCCGTTGCTAGAGAACTGGAATGCCATGGATTTGCCAGGGACTTGTAAAGTCCATAAGGACAGGTGTAATTTAGTCAAGCCAGAAACTACCAGAATTCATATTTCTTCCTGAAACATACCTGTCTGCTTTCCTGCTGGAAAATAACCTTATCTGCTAGTAGGTGCAAGAATTGTTCTTGCAATTAGATGTAGAAAATGCAACCAGATGGAAAAAACTGTTGATTCATTCAAAGTATCATACCTGTTGTTGGAAGTAGGTATGTTTACAGTTATTTCTTAAGAGGCTCCCTCTTTTGATAATCCACTTTCAGTTCCAGCAAGGATTTATGACAAAAAGCTACAAGCCTTCCTAGTTGCAAACTTGCAATCCCGTACCGCCTGGTTAACGTCGTGTTGTGGGCGCTGGTATGCTTACCACTGTTACTCTCTGCAGAAAGAAAGCCAAGTCAAATACGCTCCTCGGCTGACTTAGCGTGAGGGCAGTTGGTCCCATGCGGCCTATCAGTTGTAAGCCTGGGCAAATAAGGAAATTTCTTAGTACAGGAGACAAACTGGAACACAGAGAACACAAACATAGTTTGGAGTAGGAGCAAAATTCCCCTGCGGGGGTGGGGGAAGCTTATTTTGGGTCAGTCCAAAGTTTTGAGTTGGCCGTTATTAATGCAGTTTTTGAAGAGAGGAACCTACGGTATCCTTCTCTCTTCTTGTTCCTTAAAATGGAGAATTTTCACACCAAAAGCCAGGGGTCTTAGACAAATCGGTTAAAGTACTGAAATTAGATTTTACAGTATTTAGAAAATACACTTATTTCTTTGAAACTGTTTATTGTATTCAGCGTTTCTGTGCAAACAGTGTTGGGTCCTGCTAAATCATTGGTTTTGGCAAACACGTTGGCCAGAGAAACACTCAGCTCTAATCAAAGGCACTTGCTTTTCTCCCAGGGAACAGTACAGGTTTAGAACGCGTGAACGTATTTAGCTTTAAATCACTGTGATTATGTATCTTCTGAGGCCTTTGGCACTGGACCACGCTGAGATGCTGTTCTACATGCTTACTGCCTTGGAGTGTGTGAGCACACAAGCTGCACGACCTGCCTTCCGTGAACAGTTGGGCAGAACGGGTTCTTACAGCTGATGGCAGCTCAAACGAAAAGCCTGTATGTATTCCTTCTGAGTTGTCTGAAAGCCCGAGTTTCTCTGCCACCTTTTCTTTTTGTCTGCTCATGTGGTTTTTCAACCTAGTGCATCGACTGTGAATTTCTAAAATGAGCTCTTTCACAGATTAACCTTTCTTGGCTCTAGCGCCGCCTTGGAGAAGTGAAGATGGCTTCTGTTCTGAGGTGTGCCTGGCAGATTTGGTAAGTGCCCCCTCTGTCTTTTACCTACATTCAGGACTACGTGTTCACTGCTGAGCAATAATTAACTCCTTGTTTGCCCATGAAATCCTTTCACCCTGCACTAAACAAAGTACGTTTGCTGGACCGTTGCACATCGATTTGTGTGTTTGAATGAGAGAGGGGGGGATCCATGTTAGGGCATTGTCAGCAACCAATTCCATAGTAGTTTTACAGCTTCTTTATGCTACCTCCCTCAGTCACTATATGCAGTTGTTATTACTGATAGCAGCCATTGGGATATGGCTGCCTGCTAGCATTTGGGATAGTGTTTGTGATTTATTAGAACCAACTTTGTTGTGGGTCCTAATCTGTAATTCACAGAACATTACAAATCACCCCTTTATAGCTTATTTGAAGATTTACCTGTTCTTGATTGCTCAGACAATAGCCTAGGCTGTTCTGGGTAAAAAATTGGCAATGCCAGTTAGTTTTAAACGTCAGCCTTAAAGCAGTACTATGAGTACACTCTTAGTATGTTTTCATATGTAGCATAACTAGAATACTCACTGTAATTACTGGGTGTCAGAACAGACAGAAATCTTCTCCAGTTAGAGGATGCAGAGCAGCTTTTAGTGTCAAAGTACTGCTTATGCTTCTCGTTCCCTGCTTTGTTCATTTGGCACCTCAGTATCAGTGCCTCCCAAAGGTACTGCTTTGTTTTGGGAATAACACTGCTCGTTGTGCTGCAGGGATTGTCTTGCCAGTATGGACTAGACCCCCACTTCTCCATGAATGGCTTTTACCCACAGGATCTTTTGATATTGCTGGTGACTGGATATAAATTAAATTTGAACATGTGAGTAAAGAATGAGGATAAAACATGAAGTTTGCAGTACGTGCGGTGTTGTGAAGTAGAAGAAGCTAAGATCGTGGCTAAAAACGTACGTAGACAATAAAGTTGCATTGTCTTGGAAGACTTCAGCATGAAGGATACATTCTGTAGACACTTCTTAGGTGACTAACAGTAATAGCTTGCAGGCAACCAATGCTAACTAAAGAATACATGTATGTATTAGACTTTCACAGTGTCAGACAGAGGATGTAGTTGCAGATGCTAGAAATCAGTGGTCAGGTGGAAGGGAACAAATCTTTGGATTATTAATAATGATATAAGTAATTTCACTGATGTAATGCATTTTGAGTCCTTTTACCATTTGATTGGTACTGCATGATTCATTGGCTGAGAAATTTCAAAAATGCAGCCCCCAAATTCATCAGCAGGGATAAAAGATAAATAACTATCTGATACCAGCTTTGATGTTTCCGGCTCACAGTCACAAAGCAAGGGCTTATAAGCCAATATTCAGGGTATTCATTTTTAGCCTGCAATATTTTAGCATTTTATTACAGAGAAAAGTATTAGAAACTCACCTAAAATGGAAAATTGGTTCTTTGAAAGATTCAGTGAAAACCTTAGCTCATTGAACAGAATCACAGGAGGACTTGTTTAAAGTGTATTTTAGTTTCATCTCCTCAGCCAGTCACATAAGAATTCAAAAAGGTTTTCAGATCCCTGTATGGGAAGGAGCTTTAGGAACAGTGTTGTAAAGCCCAATGGGTAGAGATTGTACTCAAACATGAATCAGTTTCTGTTCTGATGGAGGTGTGTGGTATTTTCTATGTGTTTCTGTAGGAATGTTGAAGACCTGGGAGCGAGACAAGCTAACTTAAAGGTGAAGATGGTTTAGGTTTAAGAGAATGTGCCAGGCACTTCAGCACCAGCTGCCTCTCATCAGTTCTGGATCAAAGGAAGGAATTGTCCATCTGCCCAGAGATTTCTTTCATAAAATCCAAATTATAGGCATTTTCACACCGACTTTTAAACTCCTAAGCACCAGTATTGAAATAGATCCTGAGCCAGAGACGAGATTGGAATCTGAGTAGAAATCATACAAATACTGTGACTTTTTACTTAAAAAATATTGATGTAGTTTACTAAGGATGATGGTGAGTTCAAAACAATAATTAATTAGTATTGAAATACTTAGTTTACTAAGGATGATGGTGAGTTGTTTAATCAAAACAATAATTAATTAGTACTGAAATACCAGTGGACTGTGTTTAAGATTTTATCTTCAGTATCAGTGCACACGTCCTGGTCCAACTGGATTGTTGCTGGATTCTGGGTTTTGAACCCATTTCACACATAATATACGTGTCAAAGGGGCTCACGGAAACGGGGATTAAGTCCATGCAGATGCGTAAATTCAGTATGCTGCCTTGAAACTCTTCCATGGTGCCTGTAAACCTTATGCTGTGATCCAAGTGATCACGACTGGTTTTAGGTCTGGTAGGGTCATTCAGCTACTGGTCTTCAGCAGGTTTTTTCCCAACCTTCTTCTCTATCACTTCTAAGGCCATATGGTACCGTGTAGTTTGGATAGAATGAACCAAGCTGCCAGTTAGACCATTCTGCTGTTGAGCCATATATCAAACCTGGAATTGATCAGGTTTTCTTTTGAAACAGCCTGAGAAAATGTTGTCCCTATTTTTGTCTGGATCTGGAGTGGAGTTGTTTTGATTTGGGGGTTTAGGGTTTTTTTTTTTGTCATGAAAACATTGGCAAAACATTATTAACAAAATGTGATCTATCCACAAAAAAAATAGGTAGGAATTTTTTCCTTTTCCAGTAAGCCCAGTGTATAGGAAACATGCTCAACAATTTTATGTTGTTTTGACAAATTCTCAGCACTGGCAAGAGCAGGGAAATATTTTTGGTGATATAGTTGACATTGGCAATTAGCTTATCAAAAGGTATTTTCCTAAGCGTTTCTCTGTAGATAAATGTGAGCAGATCCTTATCAAGACCAGATTAGAAGGATTCTAACTACAGGCAAGTCTTCAGACTGACCTGTTAGCTGCCACGGAGAAGCCTGGTCGTTACCCATTACCTGAGGTACCTGAGAGTGTAGCGGGAACCAAACTGAAGCTGGCAACACATTTGAAAAGAATACTGACTAACTATTGTGAGTGTGCAGCACGTGGTGATCTGAACTAGATTTAGCCCTGCCTCCACTTCTCCCTTCACCTAATCCCCAACGTTTTGCTTTCTAACTGGGAATGATTTCTTAGGAGAAGTTAGCATCTAACTGGGAAATTTCCATCAGTGCCAGACCTGTGCTGGGTTTCTGTTTTCTGGGAAGATACTAAATATGCCCCCCTTCTTCCTAACCATGCAAGTCAAACATCCTGTAATTGTAAGTGATCTAAGTAATTGTTTTCTGCCTCTGATACCCTGCTGCTTCACTAGGCAACGACCCAACTGCAGTCTGTAGTGGGGCTGAAGCTGTTTCTCCTTGGTGCCTGTCTCTCACTGAAGATTGTGGAGGAGGGGAAGGAAGGTAGTTTAAACAGTTTTTTATCTCTATTGGATCCCTGTCAGTAAAGGGAGGAGGAGGTGAAGAGCAATGACCTGAGCGTAGCAAATGCTGTTACCCTCTTGCATCACAATTATTTCATTTCTGAGGGGAAGTTAGAAGCAGCAGCAGAAATAAAAGCAGCGGTTTCTGCCTTGTCTTCCACAGCAGCATCAACAGGCATCTGTACCATGACGCTCCACTGCGCGCCTCTCTTTCTCTTGCTTCTTCTTGGTTCGTGGTGGCCGGACTCAGAGAAGCATGTGGTGGGAGCTGTGAAGGTCAGGGAGCACTATATTGCTGCTCAGATCACTAGCTGGACCTACAAACCGGAATCTGAGGAGAAGTCCAGGTAACAGAGTGCACGATAAAAAGGATGAAGCTAGTCCTCTCTCATGACTGAAAGTGTTTTACATCTCCCATCTCCTGTGGGATTGTAGAGTCCAGGAGGACTTTAGAGCCTGATCTGTTGACTTCAGAGGAACTTGTGTGACTTTAAACAGCGTGACCTGAACTGGAGCCAGTGAAGTATTAAAAGCTCCTTTTTATTTACTTCATTAGAGAATAGAATTATTTTTATGTTTTCAGGACACTTCTGTTAAATATGTTCCAGGCTTGCTTTTATAATCATCTGTGTGGGTTGATGTTTGTTGTTTGGGGTTTGATGTTAAATTGAAACGTGGTTTAGTAGGAGTTCAAAAACTTTCAGACTTTAGAATTTGCTGAAGGGGAATAAATATGTTCCGATTTGGATACTGTCACTTGCACTTAAATCAGAGCCTGATGAACTTTGGAACTAGCTATGTTGTTTCTGAGTTGTTCAGTAGTTTCTGTGAAATGCTCATCCTGAGTTCTGCTGAGTAAATGTTGTAGGATCATGCGTTCTTATACTTCATTAAGTGGAAATACTTATTTCTTTTTTTTTTTTTCCAGATAGTATTGCAGAATGGCAGCCTAAATGCCAATCAACCATATAGAATATTTTATTTGTATTATCACTACTATCCTTAGGATTATAAGCACTGTGAGTGCAATGCTACAGATCACAAAACTTGGACATAATTTAGAATTCTGTTTAAATTAGGCTTCACTCCTATGCTGTGCTCACTGTAGTCATTATACACAGCTTTTATTTGTTCGTGAAGTGGCATGAAATGGTACAAATTACTGTCTTCCTACATTGAAGGTTGTATTTGGATACTACTGCATTTTTTATATTGGTGGAGGGCTTGTTTTCTTTATTTTTGTTTAGTTTGTGATTTTTTTTTTAAGTGTATTGCATTTCTGGATGTTTTGGAAAGGACATTTCTAGTTCAGATTTAGACTTTATAACTCATTTTTCCAAGACTTAATTAAAACAAAGTTTCTATGAATTCTAAAGCTCCTATAGGAAGTTTAATACAACTTGGTATAAGCCTGATGTCAAACTGGCGAGACAGAGGAAAACATGATTTAAATGTAGGAATATGAAGCCAAATGCCATTTAAGGGTTGACTCGGGCATGTGAATTTAGTAGTTAGAACTTCATTCTCATCTGCACTGGATGCATCAATATAAGCATCAACTGCTGTGTCGTTAGATGTCACATTGTGAATAGACAGTTTTCATGCAGCAGAGACACACGAGAGTGCCTCAGTTGAATTACTCTGTGATTAGCTAGGAGTTTTTCAAACACAGTGCCTATTGAGATATCTCACATGAGTATTTGGAGCAAATCACATCCCAAATGGGTCTTGGGAAACAAAAAAGGAAAAGAAAAAAACAACAACCAAACACAGAGATACTAAGGAAGAGCCCATGGCTTGGCTCCCAAGGGCATTTGGGTGTGTTTACTCTGATTTCAGTAGAAGCTGAATGTCTAAATAAATACAGTGTAAGAATCTGATACTTTGCTGCTTTAGGTTCTAAATAACCAAAGAGAGTTATGGGTTGTCCCTGAACTATTTCCTTAGTTTTCCAATCATACATGCTAGAAAAGGACACTCTGAGTGTCAGTTTTCTTATCTTCATAGAGATTTGTTACCCTGTACAAGCATTATTTATAAAACACCTCAGAGCGAAGTGAAAATGTGTTATCTGTGCATGCAGTGTTGCTGCTGCCATTCCTGAAAGTTATGTAACTAAGACCTGCTTGCGTGGTCTGAGACTTCTGAAGTGTTGGTAAGCTATGTACTTTGTTCCCCCTAGCTATACAATTGGCGTTGATAACTTCCTCTTCCGCTCCCTAGTCTTCTGTGCGTGTTCTATTGAACATTGCCACAGCAGGGCAGCACTTGTAATGACGGTTACGGGTCGGGTCCTTCTCCTTAAAGGGTGAAACCAAATTTTATCAGTGACTTTAAAGAGAGGGGAACTAATTGAAAGATGAACTGCTTCTGCCTCTCTCTCCTGCTGCGAGTGAGTGTCACAGAGGGGTTTGCAAAAGGTCTCTACAAAAAGACATCTCCCTCCCCCATATGGACCCTGGATGCCACTGAAGCGAGCTCGCTGTGCTGTCACTGCCCAGGCTCTCTGTGCTTGCGCAGCCACTGCCAAATGTGCCTGAAAGGGCAGTACAAAAAAGGCAAGCGGGATTACCCTTGGATCCAGTCATCATATATCCTATAAGAAATCAACCAATAAATGTAAAATTCAATACAGGCTATTATCCCTCCAGCCCTCTCGTCATCATTATTTCCATTCCGGAAGTGCGTGCTGGTTTCCTTCTGCTTGTCTAGGTATTTTCTAAGAAAACATTGTGCATTGTACTGGGTACCTGAACCATTTACGTGACAAGACTAAGGTCACTTGCGGTGTTTCTGCGAAAGCAATTTTCTGACTTGCTGTGAGATCCTTTATTGTTGTCAGGGAACGGTTTTGTGCTTGCCTCCAAGGTCATTACTGCTGCAGGAGCTTGCTGTTAACGCTGTTGTTGAATCCTTGTGCTGAGTCTTGAAGTTAGGCATGGAGCTGAGTAAAGAGAAGTTGAGGTTTCTTTCACTGTGTTTTGTCAGATGATGCTTTCTAGGTTAAGCATGGTCAAGACATTTTCCTCTGTGTCTTAAATAAACACAACGGACATCTTCGTTGCAGAATCAAAAGGACCTATAGAAACCATCAGCAAAATCAGGGGTAAACTATGTTAGGTGTTGTAATTGAATGTCTGATATGAAGTAGCCTAGCTCAGGAACTTCACAGATTTAATAGAGTAAGAGGAAGAGGGGAAGACACTGGATACAAAGAGTTGGACTGTGTGCCTTGCCTACAGCAAAATGTAAAGAGGTTAAATGTAATTGCAGGATTCATTTTCTGAGGTATCTGTTAAACAGCAATGGCATCTCTGGGAATGTTTGTCCTTTTAATTTTTTGTGTAACTCTTCTGGTTACAGATTGGAGCATTCAGATACTGTGTTTAAGAAAATCGCTTACAGAGAATATGAAGAGGATTTTAAAAAAGAAAAGCCAGCAGATGTATTTGCAGGTAAACAGGAAGGAAATGTTCTGAGCATTTTTGCTTGTTACAAAGCCAGTTAGAAGCTAAGCAAGCTTGTATTTGTGTCTGTTGTTTTGCACATACGCCAAATAGGCACAGAGGGTGAGGACTCTACAGTGCACTAGGCTTTCAAAGCCCATAGAGAGGTTGGATTTTTCAGAGGCTGGGGCTCAGTGCTACCTGCAAATTAATTTCATGGTACAAAGTTGTTCCCTTTGTTTTCAGCATGTGATTCCCATACACATTTAGACTTGCATGGCACAGTCACAGTGGTGACACTATAAATTCACATGGAAGGAGCCTAAGGCTAAGTAAGTTTCTGATAGATTAGTGGAAAGGAAAAGAAAAATTGAGGTTGGGTGTGAAACATGTCCTTTGCCTTTGCATCTGGTACTTCTTGAAGATGCTGCTTTGGATAGAGGCAAGTTCTTGTGCTTACACCGTGCCTTAAGTATGGTGCTTGAGTTCTGGTACTTATGTAGTCTGTCTGCACTTCATATTAATGGGTAAAGTAACTGCAGATGTTAGATGTTCAGATTTAGAATTCAAAGTAAGTGTGTGTGAGGTTGGCGATATGAAATTGTTAACAAGTTGCCCTGATAAGTCCAGTTCCTTCCAGTTTTGTTTGTCTCCTGTGTGTTTTGATTCTTTCAGAGAAAGAAATGTACAAAATAGATTGCAGGGAAGGAGGCTAACAAGGCAGCGGTTGTCCTAGCAGGTTTCTTCCCTTGTTTATTTTTGAAACACGGGGAGTAGGGATACAGCCCCCTCTTAGAATCATAGAATCTTTTAAGTTGGAAAAGACCTTTACGATCATGTAGTCCAACTTTTAACCTAACACTGCTAATACCACAGCTAAACCATGTCCCTAAGAGCCTCATCCACATGTCTCTCAAACACCTTCAGGGATGGTGACTCAACCACCTCCCTGGACAGCACGTTCCACCCTTTCAAGTGAACAACTTTTTCCTAATGCCCAATCTGAACTTCCCCTGGTGCAACTTTCGGCCTTTTCCTCTTGCCCTGTCGCTTGTTACCTGGAAGAACAGACCAACCCCCACCTCTGCAACCTCCTTTCAGGTCGTTGTAGAGACGGATAAGGTCTGCCCTGAGCCTCCTTTTTTTTCCTCAGGCTAAACAACCCCAGCTCCCTCAGCTGCCCCTCACAGGACTTGTGCTCTAGGCCCTAGGACCTCTTGAAGCCTTTTACAGGCAATGCATCAAGAAATTTGCAACATGGAACTGATTATTTCTTTAGACAACATTTTGGGATTGAAAGATCTTTTTTGTTCCGTGACTTCTGGCATTTGAGGGCTACTCAAAGAAATGTGCTTTAATGCCTTTCTCTAAACTCTTAAACTATAACATATCTGCAGTCCTAAAACTGTTTAATTAAATTGTATGTGAAGGGTTCCTAGAAATTCCCAATGAACCTCAACATGAACCTTTTGATACATCTTCTGTATCTGGAAATAACTTTTTTTTTCCCCCTAAATCTACCATTTTCCTGTGTGTTTTTGGTTTTGGGTTTTTTTTAAGTGCTAGTTGCCAGATAGCAGTTTATAACATTCCTGACTGAGCCACCTGGTTTAGATCCTCGCATGCCTTTTTACAGGCAAATCTTCATCGCAGTGGTATTACATTCTCTGCCTGTATTAATTTTGCAGCTTATACTTTGAGAGCTGATGTTCCCTAAGGGGAGGAGAGAACTCTTTGTTTCACTAAACATACTGTTTTGCTCACATTTTCCTCTCTATCTTGAATAACTTCAGGACTCCTGGGACCAACTCTGCGTGCTGAAGTGGGAGATACGTTAGTAGTTCACCTTAAGAATATGGCTGACAAGCCAGTCAGTATTCATCCCCAAGGCATAGTTTACAGCAAAAATGCAGAAGGTAAGGACTATTCAAACTGTGTGTTTTGTTCATTTACTTGCAGACCACTGCATGAAATAGAGAGGAGCCCAGACCAATGTTTGAGGATATGTGTAACACAATTATCTGTTGATCCTGGATTAAAACTTCACACCCCTTGTTACCTCCTTTCTTGTTCATCAGTGTAACACTAGGGAATATGAGTGACACCTGACACGTACAGTCTGCTGACATGTGTGCTAATGCTGTTTCATAGAATCAGAGAGGTTGAGGTTGGAAGGCACCTCTGGAGGTCATCTGGTTCAAACTCCGTGTAACTGCAAAATATTCTGTTTCAGGACATGTAAACCCTTAAATACAGGTCTTAACAAGACTTTTCCAAATCCCTTGTGATAGCGTACATCAAGGCATTATTGGTAAAGGCAGCTGACATTGCTGATCCTGTTGTTTTGATACTCAGCACTTCATGCTCAGCTTTGTGGTGTTTTGCTCCTGGAACCCTCATGAGACTAGCAAAAAGAGATCATAAACTGTGACCACATTGGCAGTTAAATGTCTGCACTCGCACAGAGTGAGTTTGATTGCCCTGCCCTGACTGCTGAGCCAGAGCTCTGACCTGTAGCTTACAAGTTTATTCAAGGCTGTGTTTGTTGTGTCAGCTCAAGAAGAGTTTTGCAACCCCATCTCATGTTGTTGCACAGAACATGTTAATGGAAGCGATAGGCAGTTCAGTTTGACTGTCTTATTAATGTGCCTCTTTCACCGAGGATTTTGATTCTCTGGCTCCCCTTGTCAGACTGCAGATCTCTTGGGTATGGTAGGCATGGACATGAGCCATTACTGCCGTCGGGATATGCAGTGCACAAAGGTCTCAGGCAGAAAGGCAATGCTAGCCTGCGCAATGGCTTTCTGAGAGACATTTAGGATGTTGACAAAGTGGGGGGCATTCCTCCACAGAGCCTCAGTGAGCAAAGGCTGAGGCTTCATGCCATCCTAACCCTAGTCAGAGTGATGAAGAGCCCCACCTTTTGGCAGTGAGGACAGTTCTAGGAAATCTTTAATCTGTAAGAAACAGGATGGTGGAATAGCTACCCTCCACAGCGTGAGTGGAATCCTGAGTTGTCTTTTAAAGCTGAAATATCATATAGGCAAGAAAGAAACCAAGCTTTTTGAATTGATTGTAGGAGGACATTCCACATGCTTTAATTGCTCTTTTGTCTTCACACCATCCTACTGACTCTTTTCTTGGCAGGCTCCCGGTATGATGACAAAACATCGTCTGCAGAAAAACAAGATGATGCTGTATTTCCGGGCCAGGTCTACACGTATGTGTGGGATATAACAGAAGAAATTGGTCCAAGAGGAGCTGACCTTCCTTGTCTTACTTATGCATATTATTCTCATGAGAACATGGCAGTGGATTTTAACTCTGGTCTGATTGGACCGCTGCTTATCTGTAAGCAAGGTAATGAAATGCTTTAAGGCTACTATAAGGTAATACAGTTTAACTTCTTAGTGCAGTTAAGGTTGTATGATAATGGTGGAAGACACATGATTTTCCTTTTCACATCTTTACATGCAGTGTAAATGGGTTTTAACATCTTCCTTTTAGTTGTTAAAGTTTTTAAATGCCAACTTTCATGTAGATCCATCCTATAATTATAGGATGAGTGGAGAGCACTATTGGCCTGTACTGTTTGCATTTTCTGTTGCTTAATTGCTGAATATATGACCTCGGATTTTCTGCCTTAGAAAAAATATTTTTAAAGCATCATTCAAAATGTTTTGGCCATTCCAGAGAATAAGGCAGGAAATAATTGTATCAGCCATGCCTTTTAAAGGCTGTCTGATCAAGAGGCTGTAGCACTCTCTCTTCTGTAACAGGGGTTTGAAATTGCAGACCAGTGTGTCTTTTCCTAGTAATTTGAAAATATGGCCAAATTTGAACAGATAATAACTATTCGAATTTCTTTGCATGTGATCAGGGAATTGAGATTTTAGCAGTTTGTGTTATTGAACTCCATCTCCTCTAATATGAACTGGTGTCTTGTAGGACTTGTAACTTCTAGGTACGTGCCACTCATTTGAGGGAAGTTTGAAACAGCGTACCACTGTGTAAGCTACTTAAACTACTTTCTGTTCCCTTAAATCCCAAGTTTTTCCAAGTTATATATCCTTCTTTTAGTGAAAGTCCTGTGAAGCAGTTTGTGTTATTGAACTCCATCTCCTCTAATATGAACTGGTGTCTTGTAGGACTTGTAACTTCTAGGTACGTGCCACTCATTTGAGGGAAGTTTGAAACAGCGTACCACTGTGTAAGCTACTTAAACTACTTTCTGTTCCCTTAAATCCCAAGTTTTTCCAAGTTATATATCCTTCTTTTAGTGAAAGTCCTGTGAGTTACTTAGCTTGTTTTTTCCTGTGGTTTGAGTCAAATGTTTTGTATAGACTGCAGGGACTTGGACCGTGAAGCTTTCCTGAAAGTAAACATAAAATTGGTTCGGTGTGGGTTGTACAAGGACACTTTTCTCACTGATAGATATCCATTTAACTGCAGAACACACATAATCATATCACCTCAAAGGGGTAGCATTTGTAATAATTATGTTCCTCCTGAAGTTTTTTGAGAATTAGTGCTTTTAGTATTATCTAGGACTTTCATAGAATCCTCGAATGGTTTAGGTTGGAAGGGACCTTAAAGATCATCCAGTTCCAACCCCCCTGCCATGGGCAGGGACACCTTCCACTAGACCAGGTTGCTCAAAGCCTCATCCAGCCTGGCCTTGAAGACATCCAGGGATGGGGCATCCACAGCTTCTCTGGGCAACCTGTTCCAGTGCCTCACCACCCTTGGTGGGCTTGAGTTAGATATGAGTTTGAGGTTATTGGTTTGACTACTACCTTCAAGACAATTGGAGTATCTTTCTAGCTAAGGCAAAGACCAATGGCTAACTATTCACATTTGTAACATATCTGAACCGGGTTTCTGTGGGCACTGTGCCTGGCAGGTGTGCAACATGCCTGTGTATTTGGTTGGGCTGGTATGGAGTTAAACTTCTTCACAGCAGCTCATACAGTGCCGTGTTTTGGGTTTGTGGCTGAATGGTGTTGATAATCCACCCACATTTTAGCTGTTGCTGAGCAGTGCTTGCACAGTGTCAACCCTTTCTCTTTTTTCTGCTCAGTGTGGGGAGAATGAGGGCTGTTGACTTCCAAGGTGGCTGTTCCCAAGAGACTGTCTGGGCATTGACCTGCTTGTGGGAGATGATGAGTGGTTTCCTTTGTATTTTGGGAGGGTTTTTTCCTCCCTCTTTCCTTCACCTGCTCAACCATCTTTAATGACCCACAAGTCTTCTCGCTTTTGTTCTTGTTCTCTCCCCTGTCCTCCCGGGAGTGGGGCAGCACTGAAGTGGCCGTGTGGCTGTTCCCAAGAGACTGTCTGGGCATTGACCTGCTTGTGGGAGATGATGAGTGGTTTCCTTTGTATTTTGGGAGGGTTTTTTCCTCCCTCTTTCCTTCACCTGCTCAACCATCTTTAATGACCCACAAGTCTTCTCGCTTTTGTTCTTGTTCTCTCCCCTGTCCTCCCGGGAGTGGGGCAGCACTGAAGTGGCCGTGTGTGTGCTTGGCTGCTGGCTGGGGGTTATAAAAAGTGGACTTTTGAGTTAAAGCACTGAATGTTCTTTGCGTGACAAGCAGTTAAATTCCTCTGTCGATCTGAAACTTCTTTTGTGCAGGAAAACTTGTGTGTGCTTGGCTGCTGGCTGGGGTCAACCCGCCGCAGTCTGACACATCAAGAGCAGCATAGGTGGTATAACCTGGGGAGGTTATAAAAAGTGGACTTTTGAGTTAAAGCACTGAATGTTCTTTGCATGACAAGCAGTTAAATTCCTCTGTTGATCTGAAACTTCTTTTGTGCAGGAAAACAGGACTTTGTAGCCTCTCATAAATAAAAAAGATTACATTAAAGATAACTGCTTCCACTGCCAGTGTCTCTTATGAAGTGGAATACTCAGCAAGCTGCCAAATTTCAGTTCCTGCAATCCAGAGGGACATCTGTTTTAGGCCTGAATATCTATTGAAAGTAACAAATGGAAGTTTTTGATGTGAGCAATCTACAGAAAGAATCAGTAAAATCACACCAGTTCTGTGTGACCTGTCCAGAATGAATTCTACTTGTTGATAGAAATCACGTCTGTATCATGAACTCAACTAGATGGTTTCTTATAACCGATCCAGTCCAGCAGCATTTATCAAGCTGTTCTCTGTGTAAAGGTCGTTTGCCGAGTGGTCAGTTTTATGCTTTTTAAGGGAGCTGATGACTTCGGTGTAGTGCTTGAAAAGGCAGTGCTCACACTGCAGGTGACTCTGCCATCCTTCTTCTTGCCTCACAGCCTCGAAAGAGAGGCCAGCGTCTGTGGACAGAAGGCTGTCTGGCACTCCATTACAGCAATTTCTACAACCCATGGCCAGAATGGGCTGAGACAATTCATTGCAGGTTGTTTAATCTCCCCTGGGATATTAAACTTTGGTTACCCAACCCAAAAGTACTTTTAGAAATAAAGTCACTTTATGAGCATTCTGAAGGTCTTGTTTTGCTCAGGCTCAGCCAGTACATGCTAACACATGAAGCAAGCTCATTAAATACACATTAATGGCACTACATCAATCTGCTTTACTTCTGCTTCAAATTAAGACCTGTTGTTTCTTCTTCATAGGAAGCCTAAATGAGGATGGGTCACAGAAACTTTTTAACAAGGAGTATGTACTGATGTTTGGTGTGTTTGATGAAAACAAGAGTTGGCAAAGATCAGCATCGCTTAAGTACACAATTAATGGCTATACTGATGGAACGTTACCAGGTACTGTTCAGGCTAATGTGAAATGAAATTAATGCTGATGAAGACTGAATGTTACTTTTGTTTGCTTTTTATGCGAGAGAGAAGGAAGGGGGAGGAATTGGTTACAGCCTTTTTTAGAACATCTCTGAGCATCTAAATTCCAGAAGAGAAACTGTGCTGCTGGAAGGAAGTCATGCCATATTGCTGATAAGAACAAGATTATTTCTAAGAAGAGTTCTGCTTGAATAACAGATTACTAACTTCAAAAAAAATAAGATATCCCTCTTTTTTTTTACTTAGCTTATGGGGAGAGAGTGATGTGGTTGAGTGAACTGCTGGTTTTACAGCATACAGATTATACTAGGTGAAGAACTTCCTGGAAGTGGAAAGTCAGTTACCATTAAATTAGACAATTAAGAGGGAAGACTAGGGAGGTGGTAATTGGGTTAATCTGTTGCTAGCATTTTCCCCTTGTTCTCCTAAGGAACTACTTTCATAACTCTGTCCATTGAACAAATACAAAAGACTGTCGTAAGTGGGGTGTTTTAAACAAATATTGGGTAGGCTAGTTACTGTCACTAGATACAACCTCATTCTTTAACTTGGATCCTTGCCTTTTTCTTTCTTTTTTCTTCCCGTCCCGCCCCGCCCCCAAACAAGGATAGGTCAGCTTTCCAGAAGAGGCTACTGGTTTTCTTCCTTCTTCCCCAGCTCACTCGAAGTCAGGTTGTCACTTGCATGTAAGATTTAACCACCTATCTTCTACCGACGTACAGGAATTTGTTATCAGTTCCATTTACAAGCTTCTGAAAGTTCCTCTTGCTGCAAACGCTAATCACAGGAGTCAGAGTAACTTTTTTTTTTTAAACGTTTTGAGCAAAGATTCACTTCAACCCTAGAGTGCACTGAGAACTTGCATGATTTGTCTGTACTCTGAACCCTACTCTTGTTTCTCTTTCAGATCTAGAAGCTTGTGCATATGACAACATTAGCTGGCATTTGATAGGAATGAGTTCCAAGCCAGAAATTTTCTCCATTCATATCAATGGCCAGTCCATGGAGCAAAGACATCGCCGAGTTTCTACTGTTAACCTAGTGGGGGGAGCATCAGCCACAGTCAACATGACAGTGACAGAGGAAGGAAGGTGGCTGATATCTTCTCTTGTCCAAAAGCACCTGCAAGGCAAGGAAACATCTATTGATTTGTCAACCGTAGTTGTCCTTCTCTATGACCCAAATGGCTTCTACTGTTTTGCAGTGGTACTGTAATAAGAGTTACTGTGTTTCAGATGGTTGTTGCTTCACTGAGAAACCACTGGAGAACAGGGCATCCTCTTGGAATGAGGAGTGCAGGATGAGCTAAAAAGCATTCTTACCTGCAGCTTTACTGCTGTGTGCAGATCACAGAGCAGCAGTGTATCAGTACTCCAGTGTCTAAGTCTCTGTGAACTGTTCAGATAAACACCATTGTAAATGAATGAGGAACCACCTGTTTTCCTGAGAAACTGAGCACCTTCAGCTAAGGGTCACTGATGAAAATATTTGCTGTTCATCGTTTGAAAGTGGGTATCTCCCTTTCAGCAGTGATCAGAGTTCTGTTTTAAAGAGTGAGAGAAATGTCTGTTACAAGACCTGAAAAGCATGTTTTGGAAAAAAAAAAAAAAAGGGAGGGGAGAGGGGGTGCAAAATAGCTTGCTGTCTGTTCATCTGGTATTTTCCAAGAGGGCTAGTTGAGAGAGCTTCTGCATTCCATTCGATTAACATGGGCTTCTTGGGAAGCTCCCAGCCTATATGTAGTCTACATGCATGCAGCCTTTTCAAGCTTGAAAAGATGGCAGTCAGATGAACAAACGCTTGCTGGCAGCCTGAGCTAAAGAAATGAGAAATGAAGTTGAAGTGGTAAGGGTTCATAAAATGGAAAATCACTATGGTACTGTTCCTTCTCAATTAGCTGGACTGCACGGTTACCTCACTGTAAGAGACTGTGGGGACAAAGAGGTGAAGAAGAGTCATCTCTCCTATAAAGAACGTCTTATGGTCAAAACCTGGGAGTATTTCATTGCTGCAGAAGAAGTTACTTGGGATTATGCCCCAAATATTCCAGAGAACCTTGATAGGTAAAGTAATACTTTGTCAACATAATATGGAATGCTAACATGAAATCACAGAATAATTTGGGTTGAGGAGGACCTCTGGGGATCCAACAGCAAAGTTGGATCCGGTTGCACAGGGCCTTATCTGGTTGAGTTTTCAGTGTCTGCAAGGGTACAGACTCGTCCCCTTCTCTGGGTGCCTTTGCAACCTCATAGTGAAAATTTTTTTCCTTACATCTAATCAGACTTTCTCATGCTGCACCTTGTGTCCATCGTGTCTCATCTCTTCACTGTGCAGCTCTGAGAAGAGTCTGGTTCTGTTTTCTCTCTAATCTCCCATTTGATAGTTGAAGATAAAAACAAGATGCTCCCTTAGCTGTGTCTTTGCACGACTGAATAAGCCAAGGTTTTGCTTGTGTCACGTGCTCTAGCTCCCTCATCACCGTGGAGGCCCTCCGCTGGACTCTCACCAACGTGTCAATGACTTTCTTTGCTGAGGAGCCCAAACCACCTTTTGCCTCTAACAGGGAGCCCAAAATATGAAGATGATTTAGGAAATGCCCTAAGTAGCATACAAGCCTATTTTCTGAATTGCTTTTTGACGTGAATTCTGCTGAAATAAACCATCCTGAAGAGGAAGAGAAAGGGACGGAGGGATTAAAAGTTTTTAGAAGTTCAGTACAATGAAGCATTTAGGGAATAGCAGAAGTCTCTATAAATGACCTTTGCGTGGCACCAATGCAGATGTAGTAAAAGTCACAATAAGTGAACATACTGGGCTGTTTTGTTCAACTTAGGGTAAATAGAAGGAATTTTGTAACATACATGAGGCCATGATACACGTGCTGGCAGTGCACTGCAAGGTTAAACTTGCAACCTGTCAGTTCCCCACTGCTAGAGTACTGGTGACTTTACCAGCTGATTTGCCTAAGAACCTTTAAGGATTTAAGCAGAAGAAGACAAATTCCTCACCCTGTATGGAGTTATAGTTTCATGTACCTCCTTAGAATATAGTGTTCACCTAACTCTTTAAGTATTCCTCCTTCTTTGGTATGATTTGCTTCCCTTCTTACTTGTTCTTGGTCTGCATGGAGCAAACTTTGATCTCTTTCTATTCTAGTTACATGGCATTACTTAACTGCCTCATTGCTCTGTTTTTTCCTCCTTTGTTCAAAATTACAGTGTTTATCTCTGTTCAGTAACCTTTTTTGAACAGAAAGTGACCAGGACATACATGTCACTCCCCAGTATATATCCTAGTTTTGCTCTCAGCATTAACAACTCCAACGTTTTTAAACCTATTTACTGTATGGTTCTTGAATGGGATTAAGATTATCTGTTCCTGTCTCTCCTGGAGTCTCTGTTACTGTAAGCAAATGGTTTATTTTTTTCTGTGCTCAACTACGCCTTTGTAAAAGGAGAACAGTGATTTCTGCTATCTTAGTAGATGTAAACTCTGATACTAATTGGTTGTATGTAATACCAAAGCACAAATAATGTTCCAAGCTTCTTCTAACCTAATTCAGGTTAGAATTTGGGGTAAAGAGCATTATGTTAGTTTAGGGTTTGGGTTTTTTTTTTTTCCAAGCTGTGGGGTCTCTACCAGTTGCTCAGGTACTACATCTGTATTTGAATAGGTCTCACTATTCAAGTTTCATTGATTGTTTGTCTCTTCCTTTATTTTTAAGACACTATAAATCGCAGCACTTGGACAACTTCTCAAATCTCATAGGTAAAAAGTATAAGAAGGCTATTTTTCGGCAATATACTGATGCCAGCTTCACTAAACGTCTGGAAAATCCTCGTCCCAAGGAAACTGGAATCTTGGGTCCTATTATCAGAGCTCAACTGAATGACAAAGTCAAAGTAAGTAACATAAATTCAGACTTTTTTTTAATACTATAGCATAATTTTCTGTTGGGCAGAGATACAAAAGAACTGGTTTTATTTGGGATTTTTGTCAAAAAATATGCCTACTCTTATAAGTATTGGCCATGTTAAACGGTACAGTCCCAAGTGACAGCATTTGGTTTAATTTTTTTGGCATTCCCTTTATAGTTTCCATGATTGTTCTTTATTTTACAACAGGAAACCCCCCATTATTCACACTCTATGTAAAATGTATTTATATACTGGTCCAAAATGGAAAAAAGCTGGATCCAGGTGGACCTCTGGGGCAATCTGGATGTCAGGCCAGACTTCCTAAGTCCCTCATTCCTTATGTTGGTTTTTTTTCTGCCTGTTGTAGACACTGGTACTCACTTTTCATAGTTAAATGTTCTTTTGTGGAACTATGAAATGGAACTACAGAGCATTTGCATTACATGCTTGTGCTGCTGGCACATCCACTTGCCCTTCTGTCATTAATGATGCATCGTAAAGTTTCATGGCCTTTAATTGCCACCATGACTCTGTGACTCTGAGTTTAGCACTTCTCTTTTTCTGGTTTCATCAAGAATAGGCAGGACCTTTTGCTTTTTCCTCCTATATCGCCTTTGGCTCTTGGAATCTGGGACAACATTTGTTTTTAAATCTGTTTAGATTTGTTTTCTCCCATACTGAAGGTTCTTAAGAACTTTAGTCAATAACCTCATATTCCCTGAGGTAGTGTGTGCCTAGTAGCTGGAAGAGCAAGTGTTCTTTTTAGATTTTCCGGAGACCAGATGTAAGAAGCTGAACTTCACTCAATGGGCTCTACAAAGCCCTGCAGCAGGGTGTCAGCAGCATTTAGACTGTGGGTTCATATTATCAGACAATATTCGAGACATCCCTTTGTCTTTCCAGCACTCCCAGGGCTGAAACCAGGCAAATTCTACTGTAGCTGAAGATGTTATGTATTCAGACAAGGATTTGCTGAATACTACATTTAATTTTTTTGTTTATTTGTCTACCAATATAGGTTGTATTCAAAAATAAGGCCAGTCGACCCTACAGCATTTACTTCCATGGAGTGACACTTTCAAAGAATGCAGAAGGAGCTGATTATCCTCTGGATCCCACAGGTAAGAAATTTGCTAATTACCATTTTAATTAGCTTTTGTGGAGGGTTTCCTTGCTTTAAAGGAGATGCTGGGACACGGAATGTGCAGGATTGGGAGACCTCATTTCCAATGCTCTGCCTCTGCTGACCTGTTGTGTTACTTAATAGAGAAACCAAGGTATTAGCTGCAGAGCACAGACAAATACCCTTTTCTGGTGCCTGAGTTTTTTGTTCTTGTTTGATTTCATAGAATCATGGAATGGTTTGGGTTGGAGGAGACCTTAAAGAGCATCTAGTTCCAACCCCCCTGCCATGGGCAGGGACACCCTCTACTAGACCAGGTTGCTCCAAGCCTCATCCAGCCTGGCCTTGAAGACTTCCAGGGATGGGGCATCCACAGCTTCTCTGGACAACTTGTTCCAGTGCCTTACCACCCTCTCCGGGAAGAACTTCTTCCTGATAGCTAACCTAAATCTCCCCACTTCCAATTTAAACCTGTTACCCCTTGTCCTGTCACTACAGGCCCTTGTAAAAAGTCCCCCCAGAGCTTTCTTCAGGTACTGGAATGCATTTTAGAGAAAAA